AGGCATCATCAATTTGTCGTTTATCGTCTTTTTGTATCCTCGAAAAAATAAAAATCATTATATAAAAAATTGTATTATATACACACGCGTAGATTATGAAAATTTGAGAGAAAATATAAGAGATTATTTTAAAAGAAATCTCCGCATTTGTTATTTCTATTCTGGAGTAATTATAACGATTCTAATTATAATATCCTTTTCTTTTAACACTGACTGCACAATACATACATGTTCCATTCATTAAAGATTTTCTTCTTTTGAAATAATTTTACTGTGAAATCTTGTGTCACATTTATCGGATTATCAAAAATACCTAGGACGATTTTCTTTTTTTTTTTTGAAGTTTCAAACAGAGATTACCCGATGAAAACATACTTGATTATATGGAATTTGTCAGAGACGTTTACATGCATGACAGATTGAGCATCATGGGATAATCGGATAGCTGATAATTTGAGGAAAATTGATAGAATCGAACAAAGATACATGGACTGATTTGCAACTTGACTTCGAGGAAGAAAGAGTTACAGTCTTTGATCTGAATTTTATTACATTATTTATTGCACAACGTGTGGAAGAAAAGATTATAATTAGAAATAACAGATACATATGTCTTTAATGTGTTATTGAACCCTCAACTATTTATTTTACATTTCTTTTATATATTAATAGGAATAAAGTTTCAACATTTTGATAAATATCAAATAATTTATGTATATTAAAGAATATATTTTAAGTAGTTCAATGTTATAATTAAAAAGCTCGTAAAAAAATGTAAATTTAAATCATTGTCACTCTAATTATTGTTCAAACAAGTATGTTTTTCTTTCCTTTCTTACCGAAGATAATAATCTTATCTAATGAAACGTTTCACACGCTGAAGAAACTCGTGAAATATTAATGCAGTGTTCTATTTCGTTACGTTAAATTCAACTTGAAGTATATAATTACGATACGAACTTGCAATATGTTAATGTCACTCGGTTAGAAATTTTCTCGTTATTCTGAAATACTAGCGTGCGTATTTATGATTAAGATAAATGCACATTTCCGCGATACTTTTAAATAATTCCGTCGTCATTTAAACAAGGACTGAAGACATCAAAGATAAGGACAAGTCAATTTTATGATTTGCGCACTCAAAGTCACATCGAATGCACACTCATATAATGATGTGATCTACAATCAATGCAACCGATGCATTGTTTCCGTTATCGCGGTTGATTGGTAGTATCCGAGGATCGACGATCGCACACGTACTCGCTAAACTTTCTAGGCACGCAAGCACACGCCTGCCTGCACGCCATGCAATTGCTGTTCATTGACTGTGCACTTGTGTCGACAAATGACTTAAAGGATTTTTAATTTTTTTCTAATTTTTTTTTTTTTTTTTTTTTTAGTTGCTAAATTTTCCTAATTTTTTTTTTTTTTTTTTTTTTAGTTGCTAAACACAATTTTTTCATTCTTTTAATTTGACTAAAATTCTTACATTACAACGATTTATTTGAAATCTCCATTAATGAACGATAACTCGAAGAATCAAAATGAACTGCAGTTGCTTTGAACTTATCTAGAGACTGAGGAGTGTAACACGAGCAAGCTGCACATGCGTTTATGACGCAATATGTATTTCCAGAGAATATACATAATTAAATTGAAATTGTGATTAGTTTGGTTCGATATTTTCAATTCTTAATCGCAAGAGTTTATTTAAAGTTATGCATATTGTTCCGAAAAGCCCCAGGTCGATATGAAATTTTTGAGAAAAGAGAAGAGAGGGAGTAAGAACTTTAAATTTTATCTTTAGATATTTATTAGTTTCGAAAGTATTAATAAAAATATTCCAGTACAATTGTATTTTGTATACACAAACATTGCAAATATTTATAAGGTATTCTGCCTAAATTGATTATCCATAATAACATCGTGGACAAAGATTATAATGTAAATCTAATCTAACCTTAATTCCTGGTATCCAGAAACGAAGTTTAATCATACTGATTGTAAATAGAATACCGTATAGATACTAAACTGATGAGAATTCAATATATTGTACCAAAAATATTTTATGACTATCTAGGAAATTAATAAATGTTTGAAATTAAAATTTTATATTTGGGATCCTTCCAATCTCTCCTCGATTCTCTTAAATTTTCATGTCGACCGGAAACTAGTGTTTTCCAGAATTATAGCCAAAATTATAATATATCAAATAACGTTGACCAAAAAAAGTTTAAATTTCTTTGCAAATTTATGGAAACTCTTAACATCAATCGTATAATACAGAAAGTTTCATTATCGACAATGGCAGTATAGTTACTCTGATTTATCGATACTTCTTCGATATCGGTATTTCTTCGAAAGATTATTAAATATCTTATCAGTCTGTGAATATTGTAGGCCATGTTCCATTTTTCCAATACGTAATTAATTCAAAGTCATTTGATGTGATTGGAGTTGCAAATTGGAAGAAAATGAAAACCACGATAACTCTGTTTGTAAGTTATATTTATTCTAGTTGATAATTTTGACTGTATTAAAGAATAAAAGATGTTTATCGAAAGTTCTCTATATTAAATCGCAATTCGTTTTTATTGAGGCCACCGCGTGCGCGCAAAGCAGACCTTGAATCAAAGTATGACTGATGCAACGTTTCAATCAACGCCAATAAATGTCACCGACTGGTGCAATGCAATTAGGAAGACTACAGTTACATATGCAAACCAAAATTCATATCAATTTACATCTTCGATATATTCTTCCAAATTAATCTCCTTGAATTAAAATTACAGTTGCCAAACTAATTTCTCGTCAGAAAGTTGCGGGACTGCATAGCGTTGCATCTTTTGCTAAATAATTTCGTATTCAAAGATATATTAATATATTAATAAATTACTGTCTACAATGTTAAAAAGTTTACAACAGGATTCGGACGCACGTCTGGCGTCCTCAACCGGAAATTCGAAAGGGATACCAAAAAGTTTCTGGCTTCATTCCAATAGACATGTCTTCTCTGTTTGCAAGTTAAAGATCAGCAGCGTGGCGACAATGTCTCAAGTTTCGTTGATTATTCTTACCGTGTACTTCTTGTCCGTCCGTCGATACTACATCAGACAGTGAAATTTCCAGCAATCTTAAAAAACCACAATTTGGACCATATTTTATCAACCATCTTTCATTCAACAAAGTTGTTCGAAAAAGCTGGATATTCCATTTCAGCGGTATACAGATTACATGTTCATAACTTGATTAGAATTATAGTAGAATTATCTGTCAGGCAAATGCTAAAAAAGAAACGATAGTACTACAATATTGAAATCATTATCATTTTAATTGAACAATAATTTAATGTTGAAGAAGAAAGAGAAAAAACAAAGTCTTTTTCAAGGAAAGGCGACATTGCATTCAAAAATCGCGTGAATTCAAAAAAAAAAAAAAAAAGAAAAGAAATGAAAAAGAAAAGAATATCAATATTAATTCTGAAAAGAATGGGAAGACAACGTTTAGTGTGTCGTGAAAGTCCAAACAAAGTTTATTTTTATCCTGTCCGACGAATGTGTGTCTCCTCTCCATCGTTTCTCCTGCTTGTTCTCGTTCTTCCCAGAATATGTCTTTTTACTCCATGTAAACTTTTATTTCATTCTGTTTTGGAACTCTCAAGATACGAAGAATATGAGTCTTTCTTGATGAATGTTCTTGCTAGTTCATTACACAAAGAATTTTTTATGGCAGTCGAGGTGTTGTTGATCCCACTTTAATTTATAAATTGTGTTACAGATTTCTTATATTTGAAGTCCATCGAAAAATATCGTAAAGAATATAAATCGTAAATGACGGAGCATTATGAATCGCCCGAAGTAAAGACTATATTGACCAAGGAAGAAATTCACAAGAGATATCAAGACACAGCTCTGACCATATTTAAGGTAATTATTTATTTTACATACACATAAATCTATTAGTTATATTGGAATTTCAATTAAATATAGAAATGACATTTTATTAATCTCCTGTTTGAACTTAAAAACATTTTAGTACATAAATTGTATTTTAGAAACACATTCTATATGATTATGTACATTATATTGTAATTTTTTTAATGCCTCATAAATTTCTATGTTTCAGGAGCAACAAGATAAAGAGGAAGTTGTAAACTATTTAACTTTTGGAACGAGTCGCAGAACCATGGAGTACAGTAGCTACGGAAATCATCCTGTTATTGTGCGGAGACCAGCTGGTTCTTTGGTAACGCGTAGTAATAGTAATAATAGTACCATATCTTCGCAAATATTAAGAATATATCAAAAACCACGAGATAGCTGTGCGATAAATTAATTTATAATTTAACTATGGCTGGTTATGATTGCAAATTAAATAGTCATATTTTTATTTTATAATTTGATATCGTCAACATCTTCTTTCCTTCATTCCTTTTTTTTCTATTTAAATAATCGATTTTAAATAATCGACTAAAATATTCACATTATTTTTGTGATATTAAGTAGTAGTTCATATACATAAATTCTTTAAATATTTATATTTTTACAATATACAATATACTTCCTTCTTGAATACATTATTGTTGATTGAATTATACTTTGATTGATCTATAATAAACATGGTCCAATATCGATTCGACCTTAACAAAGGTCTATATGTTGCAATTCCGACAAAGACGTATGTTTGCGTACGTTCGTGCATTACGAGAATATAAGCAACAGTTATAGTTTTGTATGTTCAAGAAAAATTAGAACATCATTTTTAAACGACCTCGTATAAAATAAATACACGATGAAGCATGTAAAAACTAAAAAGATCCATGGTAAATGAATCTTAAGTAGAATGCCAATGATATTGGCGAGAGAAAACAGCACTAAACTCACGGTTTATGAAATTTTCATTGATGCTCAGTCAATTCGTTGTGGGTTATGTCACAATTAAATGTAAAAAATTGTCAGGGTAACTCAAATGTTCTGACATCCACTGAAGGGGTGTTTCCAAAGGTGGGGTAATACCATGGGTGAACACTGTAACTATATAAAAAATAATATGTAGTACGTACAAAATATTCACAAATAAAAGAAATATTTACCATTTTCATTATCTGGGAATACTTCATTCAATAAATGCCTCAATGTTTTTCTTTGACCTTCTTCATTTGTAGGTTTTACAAGTTTTTGTACATATTTGTCTTCACTTGTATAACATCGAAATGGTATATATTTAAAACCTTCTTCAATATTACTAGCCTCCATAAGTTTGCGATTCACAGACCAGAATTGATCAAACTTGTCATTTAATAAACCAGACCACAATTGATTGTGATCTTTCTTTTGCATACTAGACACAACCTGACCTCTGTGTTTTAATACATCTGCTTCCTTTATACAAGAAAGAAAATATGCTTCCACTACTTCCCTAAAATTTAAATTCAGTCAAACCAAAAACTTTATTAAAAACAAATATCAAATCATATTCTGAGATACTCACTTATTTTGACAGTGCATTAATACATTTTCTGGAAACCTATCAAAGTGAACGACGATATTCCATGGTAATTCCACGTCATTGGAATAAATATCCAAAAGGACACCAATTGGGTAGTGCCACTTTAGTGGAATACCATTAAATTCTAACCACATCTCATGCTCTTGCTTACTATCACTCTGTATATGTCTTATGAAATGTTTTCGTACCTAATCGAAAAAAAAACGTATAAAATGAAAACATACATATACTGATAATATTTTATTTATATTGTTTACCTTATCTGTGCAGAGTGGAAAATAACTTAACCTAGGTACCATAAGATAAAATGGGTCAGGTCCTTGTAATTCACATATTTCTTCAGAATCAAGCGTGAAACATACAGGAATTTTGCCGTCCCAAATTTCTCTCAATACCTCCCTGTCATTCGCCATTATGCACACGATAATAGATAATCTATTCTATTTCATTCGGACCATTAATAATTAATAACAACTAAATATCCTGAAATGAAAGGTTATGTTTTTCGTCTGCTACAAAAATTAACTATATTCAAATATCGTCTACAATCATTGACTAAAGGCATGACATTAAATGGAACTTTGTGTCTCAGGTTGTGAAATACCAACCTGGAAAAAAGCGTTTCATACGCCCTCTGCAATTTACTAGGGCAAATATAGAAATCATATTTAACTCGATTGCAGAGAGTGAAATTTAAAATTAATTTATTTGTGAACAGAGGTTCACAAGTTTAAAACTTTATATTAAAATTTATTAAAATTACATTAAAATTCTTTCTCGTATTAATTATTCTAGGATCGCTAAACAATTAAATAACTGTTTAATTTTATGTTTAACACTGTTTAATAATATACAAATTATAAAAATGTTTAAATTTTGCAACATTTGTGCAATTAGTAATCTATATTACTTTTCAAAATAATAGTATTATATGATATTTTTATAAGCTAATTTATAAATATATATTTTCAAAATATATTTCTTTAACCTAAATATAAATAACTTAATGAAGTATACAAGATATCTGAAGATAATACAATCTACGTAAAAAAAGTGAGAAAAGGAAGAATAAAATTTTTTCGTTAGTCTTTTGAAAATCGAATCTGAAAATTTATCAAACATATTTAAATTTGACACGAGAATATTCTACAGGCAAAATTGTAGAATAAAATCTAGAATAAAATTGTAGAATAAAATTTTTTTGTTTAAGATGTCACTTTGAAGAAAATAGACCTTGAATATGTTTCGTTGATAACATGCCTTAGTACACGTAAACTTAATTGATAAATTTTCAAATTCGATTTTCTCGAAAACAAAGCATTTTACAAAAAAGTTTTATTCTATATTTTTTATTTATTTTATTCTATATTTTTTTTTATTTATTTTATTTATTTTTTTATATTTTTATTTATTATTTTATATATTTTTTATTTGATTATTCTATATTTTTTATTTATTTATTTTATTTATTTTTTTATTATTCTACCTGCTGTAGAATAGCTTTCTGTTAATCATTCTTTTCTGTCACATTTAGAATTAGCTAAATTGAAGTAATATTGATAAGCTTTCAAACTTGATTTTTTCAAAAACGAAGACTTTAATGAAAAAATTTTATTCTTTTTTCTTTCGATTCATTTTTTCATGTAAAATTATTTTCTGCTCGGTTTGTACTCATCCTGAAATATTCTCTGTATACTTATGTACTAGATTCGTGTATAAAATTTACACATCTTCGTAAAAGATGCAATTACAGAAATTCACAAATTAATCCTCTGAATTAAATTTTTTCAGAAATGAAAATTTAATCGATTTATAAAAATTATTAAATAATAACTATCGATACAGTCATCGAGGAATCAATTTACCAGAAATGGAAAGTATATATGTTTTGAATGACTATAATATGTTATATGACTTGAAATACTTTCAATCGTCTTTACAAGATGGCGCTAAAAGAAATGTTAAAAAAATTTAGTCGATAATATAGGAATCTATGTACCATCGACTGATAAAGCTGCGATACAAAAATATAATATTTTTATGTAATGTAAACATAAATACTTTCCGTACAGATAAAATATTAATCATGTTCTTATTAGAAATATTAAAAAGACAGAAGATACAATAAAAAATTGGAGTAATTCGTTTATTTTCTTCTGTTTATTTATTTATTTATTTTCTGAATTTTCAAGTCTCTATTTTTAGTATAGCAAATATTTTAGTGGACAATTTTAAACTTGAATCATTAGTAATGTGACTAGACGAACTCGAAACGATCGCATAAAAGGAAGCATGATAACACAGGAAATTATCGAAGACACATGATTATTTCAAATATAAATAAGCAAGACAGATTTCTTATCAGTTAAGCGATGTTGGACGAGTGAACGTTATTATCAGTCGAACCTTTGAACTTTGAGAGGGCAGAAAGAAAATTCACTCTCTTTTCATCGTCACCGATAGGAGCTTCTGCTTCATTCTTATTGCTTATAGAAATCGTGTATAGACCATGATGTCAATTAGTGCTGTCATTAATTCGTAATGCAACTAAACGGTATCAATTTTAACCACCTGTTGTTCATTCTGCTCCGAGCAGAATAATATTAAATCTTCGAGCGACACGTAATATGCATTTCAACGATTAGTCTCTTAATTGTTTGTTATATAACTTATCGTATTATTTACAAACTTTTACGAACGACTTACGCATTAAACACAAACCTTGTTTTCCAAAGTGTAATTCTTCCCCAGGGAATTATTCGAAATTATCTGTTCAAATATACCTATCGTCTTATCGTTATTTTATCGTATTCAAAGTTGAGCATTTATGCGCATCACAGAAACTTTGAAAGAAACAAATTACCATCATAAACTGTGTTGGTACTCGATTCAGAAGGAAATTCTGCAACGTGATAAACAAGCATGCACGTTGGTTTATTTACCCGGTGCTAGATTCGCGGTAACTATCGGTCGACAGTTTATCAGTTCATTGTTTTTTCTGTAGGCAGAATTTTTTGATCACGCAGTCCGGTAATAACTAGCGTGCCCCTTTACGTAGAAATTGCAAATGAGCAAATGGCATGGCATCAATTTCGCGCACAGCTGCACGTAGTGCCGCGTGTGCGTCTGGCTCGTGTCTCCACAAACAGTCTGACCCGACTGTCTGTTCCGATAAATGAAAGCTTCTGATAAATTCGTCTTATAAACAGCAACTCGAGACTGAGAAATGATCGGGGGTGAAAATTTCATTGTATGAAATAAACACATACTGAGCAATTAATATATACTATATATCACGTGTATCCGACAATAGAACTGTCACTGAGAAGATTTGCGTTTCGTTTCTTTTAATTAGACATAATACGATAGTAATGACGAGGAACTATTTTTATCGTGTTTACAAATAAAACAATCATAAAAAAAAAAGAAGCTGCACACATACTACTGACAAAAAAAAAAAAAAATCGCAATTACGTTATCGTTATTAATTGGGTTATCATATCGGTCACTTCACGTGTATTCGACTATCAAAAAACAGGACGCTCACGCAAACGAGTGAATCTGGCTAAGGTCATCGATGAGTTTAGATTAGGTTTAGGTTAGGATTGAAAATAAATGTCTCTGGCGATAGATGTATGAAAAAACGATCTCGATGATGAATCTCGAATCTCCAAAGGGTGAAGGAAGTGAAGTACACTATTTACAAAAGTAACATCGTCAAGAGGGAACGCACGGACATATCTTTCGAGAACGATTATTACCAAGGCTGTAGTTTATACCGCGATTAATTAGCAAAAATTCTGCGGGAGTTAGATAAAAGATACAATTTTTTTCTATTTCTCTTTCTACGTTGAAGATTGGCTCCAGTCACATTAATATCACTTTGACCAACAATCTAAGAAAATTAAGTTTATATAAACCATCATCCAGAATCGATCACAATTACGATGACCAGATTGTTTATGTGTTTATAAGAAATTTCGAGTTACAAAAGTAAGTGCGATACAATTGTACACAAAACTATGTAAAATATAATCTTCATAATATTTCGAGAGTGAAATAAATTTACTTAGATTCCATTTCTTTAGTTGTGATAAAAATATAAATATGCGTAAACATTTGACTAGTAATAAATAATATATATAAATTAGATATATTTTAATTTTACGTGAAATTTAATGTTTTTAATAAAATTATTAAAGACACGATAAGAATTTATATATTGTTGGAAATTGTGTTTCAAATTTGAATATTTGAATTTCTCAAAGATAAATTTTCCGAGGGAAGAATGTGAGCGATGATGCTTTCAGCTTCAATTTGATCTGCTTCTGTCTAGTTTTTACTGCAAAAATGAAGCGACAAGAAAAGGGGAGAACCTATCGGGAGGAATAAAAGACATTTCGTCTGCGCTGACACGATCCGCAATAAAAGCTCGATTTATAAGACAACCTTCGACCTCGGTAAATGGTTCGCAGTTATCTTTACCACGTTGCAACGTCGAAGAATACAATCGTGAATACAAATGGTAACGTTCTACAGGCACTCAGTAAAATTGCCGTGAAAATTGGAATGAAAAACTGGAAAAGTATCATCTATCACCGAAAATCTCCGCTGGAAAAGCGATTGATCAATGACGAAGCAAAGAAGCGGTACAGTGGCAAGGCTTTTAAGAGATCTATTCGAAGGATTTCTGGTCTGAGCGTAACCGTAATTTTCGACTACATTCTTGACTAGCAGGCAATCTTTAATTCTTTATGTTTCCAGAATCATTGGCCGCACCCACTAAAATCCTTGATACCACTGATTACGAAATTAGTTACCAGTCTACCATACGATTACTACCAAACTCTGCGCCTATCCAATCGAGTATCGCATTTACAGACAAAACATGTTTTTCAATTTTGATGAAGAACCAGATGTGATGGTTTTATAGTTATTTTGATAGTTGGACTCGGAACGAGAGCACGCGCCAAAATGAAGTAGTCGTGAGTGCTGGGTGTATGAGCCGGCGCTTCCGGTGTCTCGGTACCGGAACTGCACGCCCGGCCGGCTCGCTGTCGCGACGAGGACGAATCGCTCGCGGCAGAACTCGCCCAAAGTCATTTCACGCCCGGCGGAGCGCGGAAACGGGCGTTTACTCGAGATTTTCGTTCATAAATCAAGCGTCGAGCTTTCATGCAGCCCCTCTCTTCATCGATGGGTCACCGACTCACTCTCACGGGGGGTTGCGTCGCCATTCAGTCGCTTAATCGACATCGCTCTGGTTTATCGAGATCGTTATCGTGGAATTTTGTCTACACGCCGGAAACGGAAGGGTTGGAATCACGGCGTAGTTCCGTCGTATTAAAAAAGTACTTCCAAACAGACAATTTATATTTTCGATACGCAACCTAAAGTTATATTTTCGCGACTGAGTATCAAAGTGATCGAAAATAAGTGAAAGAAAATATTTGTGCGTTGCCTGGAAAAATATTTCCGAATTGTGCATTAAACGACTTGGCCTCGGTGACGGCAACTGCTGGATCAATGGCTGCGT